TCCCTTTTTGCCTAATCTTGATATGAAACGGCTGAGAGCAGCCATGCATCCGGTAAGCTTCTGAACATCCTTCACCTTTTTGGGTGGCTTCATGTCCAAGACAGCTTTGACTTTCTCCGGGTTAGGGCGTATGCCATCGTGACTGACGACGTTGCCAAGTAGTATCCCAGAAGGAACACCAAAGATACACTTCTTTGGGTTTAATTTCCATTAGAATGTGTTAAGGGCTGCAAAGGTGAGTTCCAGGTTGTCAACAAGGGTATGCGCTTCCTTGGTTTTGACAACTACATCATCAACATAAGCCTCGACGAGGTCGTCTTTTATTTCGTCTTTGAGGCAGGCCTGTATAGCGCGTTGGTAGGTAGCCCCGGCGTTTTTGAGCCCAAATGACATGGTCGTGTAGCAGTAGGCGCCGAAAGGCGTGATAAAAGATGTCTTGATCTGGTTGTCCTTTTTGAGAGCGATCTGGTGATAACCAGAGTAGCAATCGAGAAAGGAAAGCAGCTCGCAACCGGCGGTTGAATCTACGACCTTGTCTATGCGAGGTAAGCCGAAGGGGTCCTTAGGGCAGTGTTTGTTGAGATCAGTATAATCAACGCACATTCTCCATTCATTATTCTTTTTGCGTACAAGAACCGGGTTGGATAACCACTCCGGATGATACACTTCTTTAATAAATCCGGCTGCCAAAAGCCGTGTAACTTCTACCCTAATCGCCTCCTTCTTGTCGCGAGCGAACCATCGTAGCTTCTGCTTGATAGGTTTGGCCTTGCCGTTGACATTCAAGGAGTGCTCGATCAAGTTCCGAGGTACACCGGGCATGTCAGCAGGTTTCCATGTGAACACATCCACGTTGCTCCTCAAGAACCTGACGAGCGCGTCTTCCTATTTGGGATCCAGGTTGGCCCTAATAAGGGCCATTTTGCTGGGATCGCCGTCGACCAGTTGGATCACCTTGTGCTCCTTGGACTTAGTGTTCTTGCATGGAGCCTCAAGCTCTGGGATCTCCAGGTTGTCGGCCGAGGTCTTCCTGGCGTCGAGCATGGTTGCGGCCATGCGAATAGAGAGGTCGTAAGACTCTGCTACTCTGAAGCTATCGTCCTCGCAGGTATAAGCTGCGTATACATTGCCCCTAAGAGTTAGAACTCCCTTCTTGGTAGGCATCTTCAGCACCAGATACCTGTAATGAGGTATGGCCATGAACTTGGTGAGCGATGGTCGACCCAGGATAGCATGGTAGGTACCGTCGAAGTCAGGGACCACGAAGTTGACGTAGTCGGTGCGGAAGTGGTCTGGGGTCCCGAACTACACAGGTAACATGATCTGCCCGAGAGGTGTAGAGCTCTGTCCGGGGAGAACACCCCAGAACTGTGCCTCGTATGGCTTGAGATCCGCCTAGGTTATCTTCAGGGCCGGCAGACTGTTCTTGAACAGTATATCGATGGAGCTGCCGCCATCAATCAGCACTCTGTCAAATTGAACTTTGTTGATACAAGAATCAAGGACCAGGGGAAAACGTCCTGGCTCGGGTATTGCGGCCCATTGGTCTTTTCTGCTTAAGGAGATCTCGTGGTGAGACCGAGGGAGCCGTGGATCGGCGATAAGGTTGTCGGTGTTGGCCACGTTCAAGCAAGCACGGGCGAGCAGCTTGCGTTCTCGCTTGGTCTCTATGGACACTTTGCCTCCAATGATGGTGTGTACGTGATTGGTTGGCTTGACATACTTGTGATGGGGATCTGCGTCATCATCGTCGTTATCATCGTTACGCTATTCCCCTGCATCGTTAGGCTTGTCGGACATGTCTGGAGCCTGTTGACGCGTGTAGATAGACTTGAGAACGCGACAGTTCTCCATGGTGTGGTTTGACTTGGGATGGAGCTGGCAGGGCCCCTTCAATGCTTTGGAGTAATCTTCTTCGTAGTTACGATGTCCGCCCCCTTTTTTGACGGTGTTGACTTCACCATCGTCTTCCCGAGCACGCTTGCCCCTGTAATCGTCACGGTGGTTACATCGCTGATTACGTTGGTCGCGGTGGTCGCGGGAGTTGTTGCGCTGGTTGCGGCGGTCAAAATTGTCGCTCCAACCACGATTGTCGCGGTAGTCGTCGCGGTGTGGGGGGGTGGTCGGAGCGCGGAACCCTTGCTGCTTCTTCGATAATTATCTTTTTAGCATCGTCGGCGTCCGCATATTTCTTAGCGGTGGCCAGGAGCGCTATGACCGACTCAGGCCTCTTGCGAAGGAGCTTGTCCCTTAGAGCATCGTGGAAGCGGAGGCCAGTGATGAAAGCCTCGATTGCCTCGCTGTCGGATATTGACGGGACCTTGATGCGCATCTCCGACAAAATGCCGGACGTACTCACGCAGCGGCTCATCTCTCCGATCTTGAATCCGCTGCAGATCATATTTGTTGCCGGGTTGCTCGCAAGTGGCAATGAAGTTGTCGATGAAAGCTTGCCTGAGTTCTTGCCAGGAATCGAAGTAGTTTGCCGGCAAGCTGACCAGCCACTGGTGACCTGCATGACCAACAGCTACTGGAAAGTAGTTAGACATGACGTGCTCATCAGCCATGGCTGATCTGCACGTGGTTTCGTAGAGCATGACCCATAATTCGGGGTTCTCCTTGCCGTCATACTTCTGAAGTTTTTCGAGCTTGAAGTTCTTGGGCCATATGACTTGGCGAAGGTGCGGAGTAAACTGCTTCAAACCTGGTGGGCCATGGGCAGTATCATATTCCATACGGCGATAGCTTTCGTGGGATGCATGATCGTTGGCTCTCTGGTTGATGCGATCACGCAGATCACGTCCTCTGAGGTAGTGGCGGAGATCGTTATTGCCATCACGGTGATCTCGGTTGCCATCCAGATTAGCCCTGCGACCGTGGTTGTCGCAGCGGTTGTCGTCTCGGACGTTGCGGCGATTGTCCTGTCGACAGCGGTTGTCATCTCGACCGCCATCATGGCCACCGTTTCCGCCTTGACGGTTATCTGATGGGTCGTTGTTGCGCGAGCCACGTAGGTTGGGTGGCTGTGAGCGGCTTGAGTACTGGCGGCTGTGGCTTGACTCGACTGAGATAGAGGGAGCCCGGGCTTGATTTATAATCTCTGCGGTCTGGGCCATAGCAGCCGTCAGATAGGCTTGTATTTCATCGCGAACTGCCTGAGTTTCCGGGGTATTGGGTAGCCGTTGCATTGTCGCCATAGCGACGGCTACGTTGGCACTTGGGGTCCTAAAGACCTGTTTGTCCCCCACCCTATCGAAAGCATTGTTGAGGTCGCGTGGCTGGACCCTTATGCGTCGTGCCTCCTCTTCTGCTTCAGCTTCAATTTGTCGGCGATTAAACCAGTCAATATTACGTGCTTCGTGTGCAATCCTTTCCTGTTCTGTTTCGCCGACTGCTGGTGGTTCATCATTACTGACAACATTGATCAAATCCCCTCGTCTTGGTGGGAAGGACGGGAATTGTGGGAACCCTTGGGCGTGGTCTGGGATATCCAGATCGTATTCGACGCCTTCATCATCGTGACGCTGGAGCTCAGTGTGGTCGGAGGTATTGGATGCGATGCTAGACGAGGAGCTTGAGTCACCCTCTTGGACTGTGTGGATGGATCCTTCTTGATAATCCTCAATTCGGACCATGTTGATGAAATTCTGTGGCTTCGACTGAGGTCGACGCAGATCCAAGCGGCGTTGTATATTACACGCGTAGTTGGAGGCAGCGTTTCGTAGGCCGTAGGGCTGGGCCTGGTAGTTCTCTGTCAAGGCTTCGTACTCGAAGAGCTGGAGACCCGTCGCGGAGGCTGGCCGGCGACGAGCGGAGCGCCCTTCAGGAGTAGATATGACCACGAGATCTGTACCAAGTCGTGCAGGACGACTGGCCCGAGCCGATCGGGTAGATCTGTTGTGGGAAGCGGTTACCTGCTCATTAGGTCCACTTTGAATTGAACTTACCAGAGCTAGGGTTTCAGCGAGCTTGGTGCCGACCCGATCGATGGAGTCGAGCAGGTCCGTGCTCTTGGTGCTCGCGCCTCGAGGACGGGATCAACCGGCCCCGACCTCCCCTCCCATATATTGCAAATGTAAATTTCAAGTATTTCAGATGTTTTCAGAGGTATTCCATGTGTTTCGTATGGATGTTGCAAAAGTAGATTGGATGTTGCAAGTGTTTCAGAAGCATGTCGCAAGCGCTTGTTTAGAATGTTCTATCTGTTTTAGACGTATGTTGCAAGCGTTTTTTATCTGGATGTTGCACATGTTTCACACCTATGTTGCAAAAGTATATTCGAAATGTTTTTCAGTCTTATGTTGCTATAAGTGTTTTTATGTTGCAATTTGTAAGTGTTTTTATTTGGATGTTGCATATGTTTCACACATGTTGCAATTGCCTATTCCAAATATTTCATCTGCTACAGTCGTATGTTGCATCCAAGTGTTTCATATTTCAGAGGTAGAGAGTCATAGGGGGCACGGCCTGGGCGCTGGTGGTCGGGGCGCGCAACGCACCTAGGATCCTGTGGACAGGGCGTGCTCGTCCTCATGCCAGCTCTCCGGTCCCGCCCGCCCAGAGATAGAGGAGGGTTAGGGGGAATGAGCGACGGGCACGGCATTTCCCGTGCGCGCGGGCGTCCGGACTCATTTTTGTCTTCGGTCCTGAATCCCTAAGTCTATACAATGTTCGCTTGAACTTATCAGCTATAGTATAGTGTTTTTCTCTCACAACAAATCAGTAAACAGTACTTTTCAGCCTGACTTTTCAGCGAAACGAACAAGGCCATATCATAATTGGCTCGCACTGATCAATGTTCAATAAGTATAATCCATTAACTTCAAAACAGATGCATGAAAAATGAGATGTGATCCCAGAGTTCTTTTATATATGCACAAGGGTGACCGGGACTGTACAGGTAGAGACTAGGTTTACACTTCCTGCACAATGCGTGCAGAGAATTAGAGATATATATACATCGTGGAATCAATTTTGTTAACGTTTTGGCTCCGGACATCCTAGAATAAGTCCCACTGCCAATAGATCTTATCAACAATACCGCCACCGCTCCGCACAGCGACATGGAGGGTCTCTGATGCTGGAGGAACCCCCCACAGCAATGGTACTGCGACAGACATGGTTAGCTTCTCCTGGAGGCCGTCATTGTTTGCTTTCTCTGCAGTGACAACCTGCGAGGGTAATGCCCATTACAGCAAACTAAATATAATCAACTAATCATGCACTCAACTCCATGTTAATGCTCGCCTAAGCTAAATGTGTTCAAGGCACGAGGTGTGAGCATCTGAGCCGTGAGTTCAGTACTGCACCCTTAAGTTGGTTCAAATATTATTATGTGAAATTAACCTATGACTTCACACATATTCTGCTGCGGCCATATATGCTTAGAATTCGTCATTAGAACACTTCAGGATTTATCACTGGATGCATTATTGATGCATGGGTTGCATGGCCACATGCCAGAGGGACAAGATTGGAAATCCTGCAAATGCACTTAGGGTGGCAAATTCCTAAATATTTCCAAGACATTTGGTAGGATTCAGATGAACAAAAGCTATTAAAAAGCATAAGTGAAAATTCTGTTAACGTCACTGTTAAACTTCCCACAAAAACTCAGTTTAGCTTGCTACTTGTGAATGGTTAAACTTCAAAAGAACTTGTCACTTGACTATATCTGCAAAATATTGATGTATGTGCAACATTTCTATATTCAGTAGACCTTTTATTCTTATCGATTAAACTTAATGGTGTTTCTCTACCGTGCTTGGTGTGGTGCGCCTCATTCCTTGGGTACTGTCTTTTCATCACCAAAGCAATATAATTTCAGTAATCATTGACCATGTACTGCGCTCTTGCCTCTTAGTTTTTTCTTCTCGAAGTACTAAGGGCAGCCATTTAGTACTTCTCAAACTAAAGTCCTGCACATGTAGAGTTCACCGAATAGCAAAACATACCTCGCCACCATGCTCCAATACTGTATCTTCCACCACATCGCTTAACATTTCAATAGAACGACAAAAGCCAAAGATGCATAATCTTCTGCCCATGTCTAGGCCCTGAGATATCAAATGGTATAATTAAAAGGAAGTCTAAATATGATAAGCAAGTAAGAAGTAACAAATATTTACATTTGTTGCTGCTATGTTAAATAGTGCTCCAAGGCAAAGACTTTGATTTGGATCCATGTAAGAGCTCTCCTGAAACCGGCGCAACTTTTGTGCACTCTTCATTTTCCGTTGCCTCTTCTGAAAAAAAAGTGACATGAGAAGAAAAATCCAGATAACATGGGAAACGTCGATGAGGACAAAGCAAAACTAACAGAAGTGACATAGAGTTTGTCAATATGATATCTCCGGACCTAGCATCAGCGGACATTGCTAAAAGGTGAAGAATCTTTCATATTAGTAAGATGTAGCTAGAGATGCATGCAATTAAAGAAACTTTTTAAAATGCATTTACGCCAAAATGGATGTTATACTTGTTATTAATTCTACAATCAATGCACAGAGCTTCTGTACAATTCATATAGGAAACAATTTTGTGGAATTGTGAAATGGATTCGTAATGTGTAATTATGCAGTAGTTGACACAATACTTATAGTCGCCTGAAATTTACTCTTCCTTAGATATTCATAGTCATTAGTTCATTACATACTTGAGAGCTCTTGCAAATAAGGTGCATTGCAACCTGTGAAGGTGGGCCTGTGTCTACCATAGTATGTCAGAATGTAAATGTCGAATATATCTACAATTAAAGTCATATTTCCCTTTCATATGTTTTTGTTACATCCAAATAGATATTTGAGTTGAATCAGACATTCAGATGTTTTATAGCAAGAGGCACAAAACAACTACAGCTACAATCAATTTACTGCTGTTCAGTATGATGCACAAAGCTTTCTAATTCCTTTTTTTTTTAAGAAATGGAGTTTTCTAATTAGTACCAACTATTAAGGCTTAAGGATCTATGTATTCTAATAGTATACTGTCAAATCATCACAGCCAAAACTGTAATAGGGGATGTACAGATTGCAAAGATTCAGTACCTCAGAAGCACTAACTCGACGAGGAACCAGGGAACCCCCAATTTGGATCAGGCCATCAGAAGTGAACAGCGTGACTCTGTCTTCTGGCACCCACTGAATGTCTGCTAGGACACACAAATCGGGACTTTTAGACGGTGTGAAAACTGTGCGCAGAAGAGGAAAAAGAAACACTTTCGAAAAGCAAACTAAAATCTCTAAATATTGATTCCATTATATGTCTCATTAGCTTTCCGCAAAGCAGAAGACAGCAATCGTTGCCTCAATCACTAGCACTCTTATAAAAGTCTCAACCCGCAGCACATGATCCAGCACAACATAGCATACATTAGCGAAAGGTGAATCCAACACCGTAGGTTGCAACCGAAGCATCGGGGATTCGGGGCAGCAACCGAGAGTCCGCTGGCGAACTTACCGAACCCAGTGGTGAGATCCAAGGGCTGGTCCCATGGGTAGGGCCCGTAGAGGTCCTCCAGATCGTCCTTCCCCGCCCGAGCACGCAACCGGTGGAGCGAGCGCGATCCGAGCCGGCAGCGGCGCTGAGAGCTGGCCCGGGCCCTGGCGTGGAGAGGGGACGAGAGGGGCCTCCTGGACGCCAGCGAGCGGGGTAGGGAGGTGGAGAGCGCGGCTGAATCGGCCATGGGAATGGTGCGCGAGACGGGTCTGAGGAAGATGCAGCGGCAGCGAGGAGCGCAGGTGACGCGGATAAAGGGCGGCGCGCTCGTCTCTTTTTCCTGTGGTGGTCGTGGATTCCCGAGAGGTGGTGGACTTCTTCTTCGTTTTGGCCGGTGCCTGCTGCCTCTGCTTGGCCATGCGTCGTCTTCTCTTTCTTGTTCCGGTGGCGTTGGTGTCCACAACAAGGCACGTTGGATCTCGGACGTTAGCTGGTCGCTCGTTGATGAGACCAAGGGGCCAGATTCCTTTGTCGAGTTGGACGATGAGCTGGCAAGCTGGGATCTGGAACTGGGAGGATGAATATTCACCGGTGCTCGGAAATGGATATGGTGGTTTGCTTTGGACCACCAAATCGGGGGTGGATTTGGCGTCCAAAATCGGACGCCAGGGGATCAAATATGTCTTAAATCACTTATGTTCCATCTGTTAGTTGGTTCTGCTTGGATGTACTTGTTACAGCCATAACGATTTTGATCATCCTTTTTTTTACATAAAATTTTTAGATACTTGGATTTTTGAAATTTCGTGATTAATATAATATACTTTTTTGGTATTGTATGTATTTTTTTTCACTACCATACCATCTTAAGTATTTCATTAAGTGGATATATCTTTTTTTGCGCAAGTGAAAGTTTATTAATACTTAAGGGGGCGTTTGGGACTACTCCACTTTATGTTTTTCAGCTCTGCTCCACGTTTTTTAGCAAAACAGTTCAGCTCCACGCATTATGCTCGAGAGAAAAAAGGTATATTTGTGAGAGCACCTAAAGGAGTCGTGGAGTTCTCTATGATGGAGTTTGTGGAGCAAAGTTCGTTAATCAATCCCATACACGCCCTAAGTAACATCTTTACAAGAGAGTGAAATAACCCACCCTGGAAATAGCAAGCAAATAAAGTTTGGCACTTCCTAGACCTAATCGCATTAAGAGGATATATCTACAATCTTATTTAAAAGAGAACAGATGTCCAAATGCTACTTGAATACTATTTTTAATACGGATGTTAACTGATCATTGGTTGAGTTTCTTGTGGTGGAACCTGCCTATCCGGGTTTAAGTCATCGACTTGGCACGGGTGCTCACATTTTCCTGAATTTATTCCAGGATTTAACGGCGCTATACTTGCCACGGGTGCTCGTATTTTCCTAGATTTATTCCAGGATTTTACGGCGCTATGCTTTCAGTGGTAGACGATGTCCCGTCGACAGTTAGGCGCCTATGGTGACTTCGTGAATCTCGAGATCAAACATAAAAAGAATTTAAGAGCTGCTATTATATTACGTTTTATTTTTTGGAGAAATTATATTACGTATTATTAAAATAAAAGAATCTAGGACTGGGACTGGCCTGGGGCAGCCCACGACAAGCCTTGTATGAGAGGCCCAAAGCCGTTAAGCTTACCCGTTCGGGCCTTGCCGGAATGGAACCGGGCCTCTTCTCAGCAGCCTACCAGTTATGTGCTGCCCATTTTCGTCTGGGTCTCTCGGCTCCCAGCTTCTCCGTGGCGCAAGCGCGGCGATATCCGATAAACCCCGCCTGCAGCAACTCTGCAACAGCGAAGCACCCGCCCGCCCGCCCGCGCCCCTGCCCATGGCCCTCGCCACCGCTGCCGTCTCCCTCCACCCTTTCCTCTCCCGGCCCGCCTCCGTGCTCCGCGTAGGGCTCCGCCTCCCACCCCTCCTCCTCCGCGCCACCTCGTCCACCTCCGCCTCCGCCTCCCCGGACTTCAACATCACCTTCGCGGAGCCCGCGCCGTCCAAAAAGGCCCCGTCCGCGCAGCCGCTGGTCCCGTGGATCGTCCGCGGAGAGGACGGCAAGCCACGCCTCAGCACCTCCCCGCCGCCGGACGTGCTCCAGGCCATCGCGCTCGCGGAGGCGGAAGCTAAGAAGGCCGCCAAAAAGGAAACCCTCAAGGGCCCAAAAGGCGCGGTTGCCGCCGCCGCCGCCGCGGCTGCTTCCAATGCCAGCGTCAAGGCACGGAAGAACGCCCCGACCGCGCCGCCCAAGTTCTCCAAGGCGGCCAGGAGGTTTTACAATGAGAATATCAAGGAGCGGGAGCCGCAGCGGCTCGCCAAGGTCCTTGCCGCCGCAGGAGGTAGTCCTTGTCCTACTCTATTTCTGGACCTCAAGCCTCGAATCAAGTAGTAATAGCTTAACGTTCCCCGTCCTAGATCAGATTAGTTAAGACAGATGCTTTTGGTTTTTGATTCTAGTGGTATAACAGCTGTTGTTAATTTGTGGAGATAACCATGCTTGTATGATACTATGAATATCTCCTGGATTGTACTAGCACCAGTGGCGGACCCAGGATCTGAGATCAGGGTAGTCCTGATAAAAAAAAATTCATGTGTAATACTATAAAATCCAAACAAAAAGTTTGGCAAACATAGCTATAAATTAATCAAGTTATGATAATACATTTAAAAGGTTCGAAACTATCATAAATACTCTCTTCATACTGGTAAAGAAAGTCGTTTAGGATATGATTTAGCATACCAAGAGATGATTAATGAAGGGGTATTTTTTTTCCTATTTTTCCTTATTAAATAGGGTTGCGGGTATCACCTATCCAACAAACTTTCGTAGCTGGATTAATAAGCGCATTGCAGCATGAGGCATGAGGTCTCCGGTTCGATCCCTCTCGGGCGCGTTATTTTTTTAAGAGCTCATGGATTTACGGTGTCTTCGGTCTAGGCTGAGACGAGAGTGACCGTGGACCGGTTTCTGAAGAGTAGTAATAAAATTTTGGACCAAATTTATGGGTAGTCCTCGGCCTACCTATGCTACCCGCTGGGTCCGCCACTGACTAGCACCTAGCATTTTTGGCCAAATGAACTACACTAGAAAACCCAGGTTGTTCTCCTTTGGAATCAGACAGCTCTCCCAAAAATTGGCGGCTTCTATTGCATACTTGGCTTGTTTGCTCCTGATACCTTTAGCAGTTTGGGTTGCTATTTCCAAGTTTGGGTTGCTATTTCCAATTGTCATTTGTAATATTGGAAGGTTGGATTTTTTTTAACACAGGAAAGAGCTTATATTTCAACCATGAGCGTGATTACAATCATAGTCCAAGGCTGCCAACGCGCAGGTCGGGACACCTTCAGACATAAAACAAGAAGAAAACACTCTCCTGCTAAATTGCCCTAAAGCATGAGCCACTCCATTAGCACTCCTGTGACATTTTGTGACTTTGAAGTCTTGAAAACGACTCAACATTTCTTTTGCCTGCTCAATGATGATGCAACTAGGGGACCGATTTGGAATATTGCAGTTGAGCTCTTGTGATTTTATTTAGTTCCTTCCGAGTAACTCTAGAAATATAACACTTCACTCTTCAAAACTTTTGGTTTTGATTACCATTATCTGTTAAGATGCTTACTAAACAACTCTTCGCAGTGGCATCAAGAAGGACCAGTGAGGAGCTCATCTTCGAAGGGAAGGTGACTGTCAATGGTTCAGTCTGTACTTCTCCTCAGGTATGAATTCTCAGAGTTTTTGTCATCCATGAATGAGGAGATACTAGTTTTGGTACCATAATATTTTACTTTCATAGTAATGTTGTTGCCACATCCAAATTTGTTCTCTGTTGGTCTTAGAGCAACAATTGTTTGGTCCAAGAACACTTGAACCGTTTTATATGACTTGATTTTTTACCAAACTTTTTCCATTGCATTACACTATGAACAAAACTTCGTTTCTGTGGTTAAATCGAAGGATAAAAAAATTCATTTTGTGCAGACCAAAGTTGACATCTCAAAGGATTCTATCTACGTTAATGGGAATCGCATTTCCAAGAAGCTGCCTCCAAAGCTGTATTTTGCTGTTAACAAGCCAAAGGGGTTGGTCACTTATTTTCCATACTTGACTTATGTGCTGCATCATCAGTGGTGTAGGCGTGTAGCCAAGGCCTGGGCTTCATGTGTTTCAGCCTTGGCTCTTGGTCTACAAGTCCATGGAAGCTCACTTAATTGTATATAGAAATATCATAGTCATAAGGGACTTTAGGCATATTTGAACTGGCTCAACCTGGGACTCAGGTCATTTTTGACACCATCCTTGTGCATTAATCATGATGCCATGATTATCTTGTATTCCAGTGAAATATTTTTTGAATCAGAGAAAAGGAATCATCAATCTAATAAATTTTGTTTCTGTGCTACAGGTACATTTGCTCATGTGGCGAAGACTCAAAGTCTGTTGTCTCCTTATTTAATGATTATTTGAAGGGCTGGGTATGTTCCATAACAGGGCCTCACATAGCATTCATATTATAATGATGTTAATGGAATTTACAAGAATTGATGAATTGCTGAACCTTTTCTGACTATGAATCTATATTGGGCAAATCTCTATTATACCTATGCATATTTACAGAACAAGATTCAACCAGGGCTGCCAAAACCACGCTTGTTTACTGTGGGTCGTCTTGATGTTGCCACGTCTGGTTTGATAATAGTCACAAATGATGGTAAGTTTATCATACTTGGTAATATGTACTCCCTCCGTTCAAACTGTAAGTCATTTTGGCTTTTCTAGGTACATAACTTTTGCTACGTACCTAGAACATAGTAAAAGCTACTCCCTCCATTCCAATTTATATGTCGTTTTGGCTTTTCTAGATACATAACTTTTATTACGTATCTAGACATCGTATATCTAGGTGCATAACAGAACCTATGTACCTATAAAAGCCAAAACGACCTATAATTTAGGACAGAGAGTGGTATGTATCTAGAAAAGCTAGAAGAACTTACAATTTGGAGCGGAGGGAGTACTCTGGAAAAGGGCAGTTTTTTGTCACCCAAGACTTATGCTTGATTTTTGTCCTCTCTTTTAGGTGAGTTTGCTCAAAAACTTGCACATCCTTCTTCAAATGTAACAAAAGAGTAAGTTTAGTGTCTTTGGCAGGTTTATATGTTATCTAAATACTGTAATGCAAAAGTAACATGTACTGGAACAGTACTATTCATTGTTATGCAGAATTGGGTAGCACAAATATTTAGTAACGTCTCTTCTACCATATAATATGAGAACTATGAAAGAAGACCATTAGAATAGCATCAATATACAAATCTTCTCCGTGCATGGTTTTCCAATTATAAATCATTTTTAAAATGGTTGCTGGGCAATGAACAGTAGGGAAAGGGAACATAAATTTGATCTGACAGGTTTGTGTTTTTTCGATGCTGCAGATATGTGGTGACTATTGATGGTGCCGTGCACAAAAAACACCTCATAGCTATCAGTGAAGGCACAAAAATTGATGGGGTCATGTGCATTCCTGATTTAGTAGAACCATTGGATGCCCAATCAGATACAAGAAAGACCCGCCTGAAGATAGTGGTATTTTTTTTCTAGCTTCATTTATTCTGTCCTGTTCCTCTTTGCTTTTGGATTCACTTATTCACGTAAGCAATGTGGCTGTCATTTGTCCTCAGGACTATTAAAAAAATAGGCAATTTTGCTTGTCCTCTTACTCTTTATCGGTTGTTGTATATCCACTATAGCCACATGAAAGCTCTTTTGGATAGTATCCTGTGGGAATGGTTGCATATTAGTTGGTACTTTATAGCCTTCCAAAGTGCTTGGCAAACATTTGAAGTCCATCACAACGTGTGGCAAGCAAGTACTTCCATGGATAATTTGTTTGGAATTAACATAAATTCCAATCTGCATAAATAGAACATGCTGCTGTTGTTAAAGAAACCTCTGTTTCAACTTGTTCACAATTGGAAAAGCCACGGTTGCCTGTGAGGAACTAATGTTGGAACCTTTTCTTGCATTATTATATTTCAAAGCCTGGTGGAATCGGCATATTGCCATATCGTTGCAATGTAAAAAAGGGTGCGATAACTACATTTTGTTATATTACAGCATTTATATTTCACTTCTTCACTGTCACAGTATTTCCATATATGAGGAAGTGCAATTACATTTCACATGCTTGTTGGTTGTGGAATCAAGCATGTAGTTATTGCAATTTCCTCTCTACCCTTCGTCCCTACTCTAATGCCTTGTTATAGTCCCATTTTTGTTGGCCATACTAGTAGCATTCTAACATGTCAAGTTGTTCTTTAGTTGCTGCAAATAGACTTGACGGAAGAAATGTTCTAAACATGCTAAGCATCGTGTGTTATTTTCTATTGCCCGTTGATATTATTGACTTCTTGCAGGTTCATGAAGGACGAAATCATGAAGTCCGTGAACTTGTACAGAATGCAGGGCTACAGGTTGGTTTGTTTTTGTCCACCTGTTATGTAGTTTATTGTCCATTCCTAGATGACATTTTATTTTGCAGAATAAGTTGGTTACTATTTTATTTAGATCTTGGTTTGAGATGGCAGCATAATGTTGCTTTTGCCTTCTGTTTTCCACTTTACTGTTGGAATGGGAACCGGAGATACCTGATGACCACATTGCCTTCCATCGTACACATATCTGTAACACATGATGGCCTGATGGTGATGGGTGCCACACACTGCTATTCACTGATCTATACAAATAAGCCACTGCCCTTTATCTATTCCTAACATAGTTTGTCTGGCACTGTATGCTTGAACACGATAGAATGCAAATTTGTGAGCCAAATAACATTTTGTGCTATTGTATTTTCCTTGGTATGTAATTGATGCTTAATTTTCCTTGATGATAGGTTTATGCATTGAAACGTGTTCGGATAGGCAGGTTCAGGCTTCCGGCAGATCTGGGGTAATGTACTTTCTGTAACGTTGTTTTTTTCCTCGAATGGTGACTGTATCAGTGTGTTTGACTGATACTTTAACTTTTTGCATGGATTGATACAATTCTACTCTCAATTTAGCTGCTTTACAAAATGCCCTTTTAGGCTAATTTTTCCTGCCTTTTGGACTATTTTATGGGAAAATTGAGCAATCTATTTCAGAAAGATCAATCTTTGATGTACTTATCACAGAAGTATCATTTGTGTAAATCTGGTAGCCAGGCGCAGATATGATGTGCTGTTCATATATGCCTTTAGGAGCTGATATGTAAATACCAGTCATATGGCCATATGGGTGAATTTTCTGTCAAGAGGCAGCATGCATATCATTATTGTAGTCAAGAAGCAAAGTTATACAGTCAGTAGATGTTCAGTACACTGCTTATTTTTTTGGTTAATCAACTTCATGTTAACAAAGAGAAGATTGTGAATGAAAAAGTATTATTTTATTCTGTACTTTTCAGAATTGGGAAGTTTGTTGAGCTCAAACAGGCTGACATCAAGGCACTGGAAGGCAACAAGTAGAGATGACACATGAGTTCTTTTAATGACGACATTGGAATTAATGTGGATAAGCACATCTTCGTCCAAAGATGGGAGCAGTCCTTCTGAGAATCACAATACATGAGCTGCTACTCAACTCAGAATGCCTGTGAATGTTCTGGATGTCCATTGGCGGTGGCGTGGCTGATGGGCAAGTGCGACACAGTACTTTTGCCTTGAAGAACTTGTGAACTACTTCGCTGACGAATCTCCACATCAGATAAAACAGCAGAACTCCAAGTCCACGATGCAGCGTTTGGTGGGGATGAAACATTGTCAAATTGCTGAACTCCTGATGGCATATACTTTGTATATATATTAATGTAAATCGCATGGTCTTGTGCGAGGACATGAACCATTTGTTCAAGTTCAACAGTTAGACAATAATTGATGGCAGACGAGTTATATTTGGCCAAATTGCATTGTAGTTTGTTTGCTGAGCTTTTTTTTTAATTATTTATTGGCCAGTAATTTATTTCCTGTAAATAGAAACGGTGTTGTGCCCGTTCGTTAAAAAAGAAAGACAGGGAAGGCTCCTTCCCCAACAAGCCCAGCGGCCCACACTACCCCACCCGATCGTGGTCGTGCGTGCGGCGCGCCTCAACTCAAAATCAAAAACACAAACGGAAACCACAACCCCAGTAACGCGACGTTTGCTGGTCTGGTTCCAGCGAACCAGCCGGTTGGTTCTCCTATGGAGATTCAGCCAGTTTCAGCCGCTACAGTGTTTTTCTCTTACAATAAATCAGTCGGAACAGTGTTTTTTAGCCAAGTTTCAGACCAACGAACGGGGCCTAACACGCCTGACGGCTGACGCCGCCTCCAGCTTGCCCGGCCGGCGGCGGTGATGTGGCTTCGCCCTCCGTCCCCTAGTCCGGCTAGAACTAGAATCCCCTTCGGTCTTGGCGTCTCACCGTCCTTGAAATAGAGAATAAATACCGCTTCCAAAAAAGATCAGGAAGAAAGACGAATAGCAAGAGATCGATAACGGATCGATCCAACGTTCCGTCCATCCATGGGTGACACAGAAGAGTCCATGTATAGTTTGCTAGACGTCTCCTTGCACCCGCCTGAATGGAACGAAGTATAAATGTCCGTGCAGCTCGAGGCCCGACGACCCGGCACGAAGCCCGCAAATTTGGCCCGGCCCGATGGTGTGCGGGCCCGGGCTGGCACGGCCCAGTAGAGCAGGCCGTGCCTGGGCCTTACCCCAGGCACGACGTGCTAGCCCGGCACGGCTCGGCCTTTAGGCTATGGCCCAGGAGCGGCCCGGCCTCCCCAATCCCCACCTCCCCTCCCGCCCTCCCCACCTCTCAACGGCTCAGCAGCGGAGTAGCATAGCGGCTCCCTGCCTCACCCCCTCATATATATATTCGAGCGGATGCGGCGCCCTCTCCCTCACCCCGAACCCTAATCCATTTCAGTCCCCACTCCACCCGTCGCGCCGCTCTCTCGTCTCGCCTCTCCGACTCCTCTGCTGGCGACTGGCGTCCGTCCTCCCCGACTCCGGTGACCTCGATCCGCCTGCCGCCGACGAGCCGCTCCTGTCTCCTCCTCCCTCTATGCCTCTCTCGTCTCCCTCTCCCTCTCCCCCCTCTAGATCTTGGTGATTATGTGAGTTCGTGTCACTGTTTGTCCCTCCTCCGCCGCTCACCGTCCTTGCTAACCGGTGTGTCGTCTTCTCTTGGTGGCCCTCGTCTTCTCTAGCACCGGGTTCCAGTTGCGCAGGTAAAACCCTAACCCTAACCCTAACCCTCCTCTTCTTCCATTGATCTTTTCTGATCTGATCTTTTCATCATCCTCCATCTCTTTGCGCAGGTCCGTAGCCGATGCGTCGTCCTCTAGCTGTGGCATAGAGCGACCAAGGCGGCCCCACGCACCGTTGAGGAACGGTGCTGGAGAGCCGTCTGCCATGGCCGCTGCTGATGACGATATTGTCTGGCCGCTCACCGGCAACGACGACTTGATCGCGGCAGACCTGGCCCCTGAGGACGACGATGACACCGGAGAGGACACTGTTGCGTTGTTCGGTATCGATGTCAGTAGCGGCTCTGCTGCTCCAACTCTGATCGATCTAGACGACGACGGTGGTGAAGGGGCAACGTGTAACAACCTCGGTGTTACACCCTAAATCATTTACTAAAACATGTCATGAGCGTCATGTTTATGTGTTAATGCATGTGATAAAGTGTGTAGATCAATTTCTTGTAACTTAAAATGATCAATAAAATATTAAACGAAAGTTGATTCAATAGTTTAGGTATATCAAGTAGGGTTTAAAACCAATTTTTATTAAGAAAAAATGCTATAGAACATGTATGTGACACTTAAATGAAGTTTGAAATGTGAACGTTGTAGATGACAATGAAATACTTGGTATTGAAAAAGAATATTGCTAAGTAATATTTTCAGTAGCTTAGAAATGCAATCTAAAATTAAGATTAGCTCAAACACTTAGAAAATTTCTAACCTTGTAGACAGCTAGACGCTGTTATGTTTAGCAATTTATTTAGAGAGATTAGGTTGAGGAGTGGTGTAGTGCTATGATTCGATTTAGTAGTTCCATATGCCATCTTGAGTGTAGTGAAGCCGGTTTAGGTTTAGGAGCAACGGTTTGGTCATGATCAGCGCTTTAAATTTTGTGCACGTCACAACTTTGTGCTGTCTGGCGCTGTGCGCGTGGTCACCACGCATGGCCTACCCGTGTCGCCGCGTGATTGTGCCGTGCGCGTGCGCGTGGACGCGCACCAACTGGCCGTGGCCACCGTGGCCTTGCAGCGGCTTGGCCGCTCTGGCCGCTCCGCTAGGCCGTCGGTCCGCTCTACGCCCGACTGCCCCTGCCACCGCAGCTATCGCTGGTGTTGCTGCTGCCTCCACACCCGCACCGCGAAGACGCCGTTGCCCCCATCGTCACATCACCACGCTACGTGCCTGCCCCTGCGCCGCTGCCCCGCCTTGACGCTACGCGCATGTGGCCATGTCGCTGTCGCCTTGCCATTGATGGCACTACGACGCGCGGGCCATGCCGGACACGAGCATGCGTGTCTGTCGGCTAGTGTCTGGCCACGGGCTGCGCCGGTCACGCCAATCGTGTCCCACCAAGGCACACCCTTGCCGAGTCGCTGGCTGCCCCTCCCCCATCGCTCCCTCACTCTCTCTCTCTCTGTTCTCTCTCTGCTGCCGCCGTCGAGCCGCGCCATTAAATTCGTCAGGGAGAGATCATCTCAAGTCGATTTGTCGTATTGTTGGCTCCATCGCACAGCTGCCTAGCTATCCATCCCCACCCCACCTTGAATGGCGCCCCGTCGAGCTCCAATTTTGGAGTTTCCCCGCCGCTGTGCTGATAAGACCATGTTCGGCCGTAGGTGTGGGCAACTCTCCCATCGTCCCTCCCGAGCCAGTTCAACTGCACCACTAGCATCGCCTTAACTCCCTCTCTACCTTGCGCGCCTTAGTCGAACCGCTACTGCCTCCCGTTCGTCGCACGTGGCCAGCCTACCTCCGTCATCTTCCACCCCAACTGTCACCTCGGCCTAGTCCATGGTAGCCTCCTGACTCTCACGCGCTAATCAATTAGGTCTGTAGCTACCCCAGCCCACCGGAACAGTGCCCCCGCCGTCGCGGATGCCACGCGCCGCTACAGCCTTCCCCAGCCAGTCGTGTCACCCTGCACCGCCTCTTAGCGTAGCCGCTCGGGTCAGAGATGATGATCGACCCGTTAGGTGGGCCCACGTAGGTCCCAGGTGGCAGGCGTAGGCGCTCAGTGCCGCCGCACCGCCGTGCACTGAGTCATCGGGGGTGCGCGCGGGTGAATTAGAAAAAGGCTAGGGGTTTAAGTGAGAAGTTATGAGAGAGGAGGAAATAGTGCTAATACTTTGTTGTAATTTGGGAGTAGTGTGAGGTCTATTTTGCAAAAATGTCAGCGCGTGCGGGGTTTCCCCGTCGCGGGCCGTCTCCGCGTGGGCCGCACCGCGGGCCGCCGCACGTTCGCGCGCGTTGCTTCTCGTGGGCCGCGCGTGTGGGCCGCGCGGGAGAATTCATTTTTCTTTTTCATAAGGAATTAGAAATAATTTTCTAATCTAATTTTTGAGCTGATCTTTGGTAAATCATATAAAATCATGTAGGTGTCCAAAAATTATGAAACAAATTTTGTTTAGTTCCTAAAATTGTGCTCTATCTATTAGTGTACTTAGTTCATATATATACATATTGATACCAGAAGCTATTAAATCATTTAAAAATGTTTAATATTATTAGGAGAATTATTATAGAATTTTTTGTGGTAAATTGGTGATAGCTTTAGTCCTAAAAATTTATAGCAGCATCATGGTATTATTATGTGCTCATTGTAATTTTTGTAGCTTTAGAATGGACTAAACATAAGAGTAGTTAAATGCTCTTTGTTTCAAATATATATTAAATCATTAGTAGAAATAAAGATATATGCTTCATTTGTAAAGCTAGGTGTTTGTTAGTTGAACCCAACATTTTGCTTGGTAAAGATGATAGTTAGCTTAGTGCCTTAGTCATTAGAGCTGGCTTAGTAGCTTAGTATGCGTATTCTTATTTTAAGAGTTGCTATTGCATAAATGCTAAGTGTTGCATCATCATCGCATGCATGTAGAGAACGAGTTGGTAGAGTTCGTGACCACCGGAGAGCAGGAGTACGAGGAGGTGATCGAGGGGTACGAGGAGGAGGTCCTCGTATAGGAGGAAGCCTCAGAGCCATCGACGACTGACATAGCTGACACCGCACCTGTCTAAGGCAAGCCCCGGTGCATAACCCTTATTTTGAATAATCACTGGATATATATATGTGATGTGCATTTACGTTATAGGGTTTATATTGAAATTACATGCATAGATAAACCTACCTATGAGTCCTACTAACATAGGTCGAGTAACTGCTATGCTTAGGTTATCGGTAGCGTGAGTAACCTGTCGTTACTCACAATAGATGATTATTATTATTACTTTCATGA